CTAAGTTCAAAGTTCAATATTGTATAACTATTAATTCAACAGTGAGCCTAAAAATTTTATAGCCACTTTTGAAAGAGATGTATCTCTGCTCTGGAAACTGTTAATTGAGTATGTTAAAGCTGTAATGAATTATAAAAAATGCTCTGGAAACTGTTAATTGAGTATGTTAAAGCTGTAATGAAATGCTTCTTATAAAAAAAAAAAAAAGAAAAGAAAAAAACCATGACTGAGACAGCTTAAAAAAAAGGAGAGAGAGAAGTACACATTCAAATATATTTTGAATCAGTAAAAAAAAAGTTGGCCATTTGTATTTCTTTTTCTCAAAACTGTTTATTCAATTTGTTAGCCCGTTTGTTGATGATTTATTTCTTGGTATTTGATTTTTACAATTCTTTATATATTCTGGATATTAGCCCCTTGTCTGATTTATAGCTGGTAAAGATTTTCTCCCATTCTGTGGACTGCCTGTGTGCTCTGCTGATAGTTTCCTTTGCTGTACAGAAACTTTTTAATTTCGTGTTGTCCCATCTGTTGATACTTGGAGCTAGTTCCTGTGCTATTGATAATCTATTCTGCTGTGTTATTTTTAAGATAGCAAGAGAAAAAGATTTATAAATGTGAATATAAGTTTTCCTGTAAAAGCAGTTTTTCAGCAGTGATCTCCAAAGATAGTGTTTATTAAAATAAGTCAACAAGCAGCTCTGAATTGTGAAGTTCTTGTGTTTTGAATTTGGTGGGTCATACACCTGTTTATTTTTGATATGGTAAAATGTATATGACATGCTTCTTACCATTTAACTATTTTTGAGAGTGCAGCTCTGTGGTATGTAATAGCACATTCATGTTGTATGACCATCACCACCATCAACCTCCAGAATGTTTTCATCTTTCCAGTCTGAAGCTGTGTCTGAGAAGCACCAGCTCTCTGCTTCCCTACCCAGGCCCAGCACTACAGTTCTGCTTTGTCAGCATGAACCTGTCCACTCTTGAGTGATTTGTGTAAGTGGAGTCTTGCTGTGCTTCCTTTCTGACTGACTTCACTTAGTAGAATGTGTATAAGCATCTTCCATGTGTCAGAATTTCCTGTTTTGCCACCCAGTAATATTCCTTGGATGTATTTTACTTTTGCTAATCCATCTGGACATTTGAGGGACTTTTACCTGTGGGCTGTTATGACTGGTGTGGTGAGCATGAGTATGAGAAAACCAAACCCTTGCTTTCAGTTCTATTCAGTACAGATGCTCTCTGACCTAAGGTACAGTTATGACTGGGTCAGACTGTTGTAAGTTCCAGTATCCTACATATAAATGCATTTAATCACTGCCTCCTGAACAGTGTGACTCAGCCTAGCCCGCTCTCATCATGCTCGGAAGAACCTGCTCTAGTCTGCAGGTAGGTAGGCATCCAGAGAGAACTGCATTGCATGCCGTTAGCATGAGAAAAGATAACAGTTCTTCAGAGAGCTACCTATCTACACAGGTGGTTATGCACTTTTAAAAAGTTTGTATTTTTATTTGTGTGTGTGCGCGCGTGTGTGTATATCACAGTGTACATGTGAAGGTCAGAGGACAGCTTTCAGGTTCTCTCCTTCTATCATGTGGCAAGAAAAATCAGTCTGTTTATAAATAAATGTTGGCAGTCCAGGTAGAATGGTAGGAAAACACATTAACAAAAAAAATCCAACCTCTTTGTTGCAAGCACTTACGGATAAAATTCTAGGATCACAGTTGCATTTTCGTATTATATTTTTTCAGTAGTTTATGTATCTAATTTGGAATAGGATTCTTTTTTGTAAATTATAGAGTAGTTGGTGCTTAATTTTCTGAAAACAAAATCATGCCAAGTTTGAAATAGGCTTCTCTGAGTGGAGTCCTGTGAGGCCCATGCCTTTGACTGAAGATTTCTCTTTGGGGCTGTATTTTGGTTTGATTTACAGCCGTTCTTAACCGTGCAAACAAAAGCCAGAGTCTGCTTCTAAATGATGTTTTCTAGGCTGTTATCTCCAGATTAAATGCTCCCTTCTCCATCCACTCATTTCTGGCTCTCTATCGCTGCCAACTGTTGCCCTCTTGTGGTTAGGCTTGGAAATATACTTGTTAAACTTCATGCTTGTTAAGCATTTGACCCAGGTAGGGTTTCTAGTTTCAAACAGTTCTTTAAATTTTTTTTTGATATATTTTTATTTTATGTGTATGAGTGTATTGCTTGCATGTGTGAAAGTAAACCTGTGTCCTGAAATGCCCATGGAGGTCAGAAGAGGGTATCAGATACCCTGGAACTGGAGTTACAGATGACTGTTAGCTGTCATGTGGGAGTTGGGAACTGAACCCAGGTCCTCTGCAAGAGCAGCTGGCTAGTGCTCTTAACTATTGAGCCATCTCTCCAGCCCCAACAGTG